GATTTCTTAATTTTGGGTTGGAAAACTGGGGGTTGTCTTGTACATGGGGGCATCTTATTGATGGGAAAATATGGTATTTATTCTATTAGGGATTTGTGTGTCCTCTTTTAAAACAGAAGACATTCCAAGGTTAGTTTATATTATGACTAAAGACTTGAAACCTTTTATAGGCTTTCATTGATCAAGATGATTGGTAATAAAAGTTTTTACTTATAAATCTAATCCAGATGTCCAAGAGAAGATCTTTGTTTTTTCTGTTTATCACATGATAGGTAACCACATTTCTAAAGTGGTTTCTCCAATTATAAATACTGCTAATGTAAAATGAGCAACTTTGTTTGCAAAAAAAGATGCTACATTAGCAGAAAAATGACTGTAAGGATTAGTGGAGCTAAAAGTAACTGCATGTTTTTGCCAACAAGAAGTCTTCTACTTTATTGTTGCACAAGCCACTGTGGCATAGTTTGCCCTTAGTCTATGTCATATTATGTATCTGGGGGGTTTTGATTAAGAATCTGTTTACTCACTCATTACGGCTTGTCATTATCTGTGAATTCAGCCATTATGATTTATTCAAGTAACATATTCAACAAGATTTAGCCACAGGGACATTATTGTCACGTCTTTTTCTCAAGGAGATTTGCAATGGTAATGTTTTGTGACGGAAATTAAGATCTATACTTGCCATACCTCTATAAAATCTGTAATTCAGCTAATTTTGGAGAAGGTGTGAAAACATAAGCACAGCTGTCCCCTTGACTGAGAGTGGAAACCTGCTGGATGCTAATGACTGTTGGCACAATCAGCATGGCCTGCATCGTCAAGGGTAAAAGGAGGAAGAATCCAGCAGCAACTGGAAGGCCAGAACCTCTCCACTCCTCACTTAGAACTGTCTATTTGACATACAAAATAGAACTTGCTATTCAAGTCTGCAGGCACTGGATTCTTACAAGCCTATTTCCATGCTCCAGATCAACAGCAATTCAGAGTAGCAGAGAATCTGATTTTGATAAGAGGTTAGAGCACAACATCTTATGGTGCAATTCTTACATGAAGTAGCTTCTGGAAAAGAATTGATGCCATCTGAAAAAATAAGAGATTCATGCACAGGAGGTTCTGCAGGCTATAAAAGAAATGCAACGCACATTAATATAATCAAAACAAGCAACCTGAAAGATGCATTAACCTATACTATAAAATTTAAATTACAAAATCTGTAAATAAAAGATCACATAATTATCAGTTTTGCCATTTCTCATCTCAAAAGCGAAAGTCGATGGCAAATTTTGACTGAAACACATATTCCATCAATAGAGAGACTGAAGTAATTTCTCATATGAGGTTCACTTACTCTCCTATCGTTTCTTTTTCCTCCTTATATCATGTCAAGTTTATTTGTTTCAACAATGTATATATGCTCACTCCTTTTGTCCAATAAGATATGGCAGATTTTCTCAATCTTATGATCTCCAAACATGTCAAAGTTCAAGTCTCATCACTCCAAATTAGCTAGCATCCCTAGCACATTCATGCTAGCATTTATTGGAACTGAATTCCAACAAATCTGGAGAGCACTGAATTGGGGAAGGCTGAGGTACTTGACTTTCTCCCCATACTATTTCATGTGTCCAAGACATGAATATTAGATTCCCAGTCCAGACTTTCTGATGAATAGGAAGGCTAGGAAGGATAACTTGGACAGTACTCAATCAAATCTTCCAAGCTAATGAAATTCTACAATGCCGTAAAAATGCTGACAGTTAAACAAAAACATAGGAAATATCACACTTACGACAGTAGGTGGAGGTTCCTGAGGTTTAAGTGGTAATAAAGGTGGTGGGGAATCCCTGCCTCCACTTTCATTGTTTCTTTCTGCTACATAGGAGGCCCTAGTGACTGAAGGCTGGTAGGGTGGCTGCAAAGCAATTGCTGGACGGATTGGTTCCCCAAGCTTCTTAGCACTGGTACTCAACTCCTCTTGAGATAATTGAGCGGATTTCGCCGTGGCTTAAAGGCAAACAATGCAGACACTCATTTAATACAGTGATTTAAAAGTCTAGAATTGATGCCATCTGAAAAAATAAGAGATTCATGCACAGGAGGTTCTGCAGGCTATAAAAGAAATGCAATGCACATTAATATAATCAAAACAAGCAACCTGAAAAGTCTAGATACTTAAAGCACATTATTGGGGAAGTTTCCTGTGAAAATGTTAAAAACAAGTATTACTGATTGAATTTTCATATAAACAAACAAGGTATACTGGCTGAGTTATTTTCTTCTCATATCATTTAGAACACAAGCTAGAGATTTTCAATGTAGTTAATGAAATATAACGAAATGAAATACTGTCTGCTGATGAAAAAATACGGCTTTTTTTTTTTTTTTTGGAAAAGACAGAACCATCTAACTTCTTCCCTCTGCAGAGGAAGTTTTTATGTGAAGTTTCATGAGCAGCTTGGGAAGGATCAGACTGGGTTTGGAAGCAGCAGCCTGGGAAAAGTCAGGGAAACAGACAGGGAGACTCTGAGACAATGGTGGAAAATGAGATGGTTAGGATGTCACTTTCTGTATACTTATCTACTAGATCACCCCAGTTTAAATCCATCTGATTAAGCCTATGGAAGCCCTTCTCAGGTAACTGCTATATTCCCCACCAAAATACAATCATCCCCGGAATGAAACCTTTGAACATCAACGTCATTATCTTAGAAAGATGCTCACCTTGCATTTCTCTAACAACATTATTTTTTCCACTGAAGAATACCCCAGATGATTCTCTAAAAGATGAACATTCTTCAGATCCTGCAGCCTTTTTTGGTACTTCTTTTCCTGCTGGTAATGCTGAAAAAATTCATTAGCAGAATATGAACATTTAACCGTATAATTTTTTGAACCTTAGGAAGCAGCTCTAGAGGCAGAGGATACAATGAAGTGCCTTCTTTCTAAGCATCAACAAAGGTTTTCTACAATTGTGGTATCCCACTGGAAGGACATGAACGTATTTTGGACAAGAAGTAAAGGGCAGATTGGGAAATAATTTAAATCCGCACCTTCTTCCCCAGAAGAAGCCCTAATGGAGGGGAAAATATATACAAAACCTGGAGCTGTATATAGTATAATATTACCCTACACTATTAAAAGCAAATCAGTCCCACTATTATATTCTCAAAATAACTTATTCTGCAATGCATGGAGGATGCTGATCCCCCGGTTTGGATGAAAACTGCATGGATTGTATAGATAAGTGAACTGACCTATACTCTGTGTGAAAGCAATTGTTTAATGAAGCATCTGGTTTGGGGGGTGTTATATGGGGCTAATGAACAATTGGTCACAAGTTTTAAAATTCCACAGACTGTTGGATGTGTTTCAATTTACCAACTGAAGGATGGAATAGGAACTGACCATGTCCAGGTAAATAGAACAGATCTATTGGATATTTCCAACCAAACTACACTGGACCAATTTACACATTGGGGGCCGCTTTTATTTTCCTTTAGCCTCATTATGTTTTGGTCAAAATTACACCAATCAGACCAAAGCTGTTGATATTACCCCAGTTGGGAATTATCTCAGTTGTAATCACACCACAAATACAACAAATCAGGTACATCAAGATTTCAACAGGTGGGGTAACAATGCATGGCAATAACATTGTTATGTTACTGATGTGTTTTCTTCTACCTATCGATTACCCCACAATCAGTAGGTGTGAAATTCAACTGAGGTAACCAGGTATTTGGTTTTTATGTGGATGCCAGGCAGTCAAAGCTCTCTCCTAGGGTTAAATGGTTCTTCCTTATAAATTGTGTATCAGCCAACAGACAGAAAAGGGCCATCATCTTTGAATCAACCCTAGTAAGATCACAACATAAGTTATAAATTGGCAAGAGCATTGCTGGAGCCCTTGACAAATTAAACCAAGAATAAAGGTGAAATTCAAATAGTGGTTTTATAAAATGGGTAAGTTTTAGATTTTTTATTAGCTAACTAGGCAGGAGTTTGTGCTCTCATCAATTCTAGTTGTTGCACTTACTTCGACCAGCAGGGTAAGGTTCTTGCTGATGTCAAGTTGTTTTAAATCAGTTGGCTACCTTTCACACTGTGCCACAAGCTGATGGCTCTTTCCCTTCTCCCCCCGCCTTTTTTTTTAATATTTGGGACTCTTACCTCCAGGCTGCCTAATTTTGGGTGGTTGAAATTGCTGTTTAATTGTTTTATTAACAATAATGGAGATTTTAGTTTGCTGTTGCTTGAGTTGCATGCCTTTGTATACATCTGTGTTTATCCTTTTATAGCCAAAGCCCTCTGGAGCAAGAATTATGGTGTTAAAATCTTTTCCTGCACAATATGATCCCACTTATAGAAACTGTCTGCCGCAGTCAGAAAGTGACACGATGATGCTGCGTATCAAAGGGGGGAAATGATGTTGGGGGGAGGATCTTTAGATAGCCTTGGATTTATCTTTGCTTGCTAACGTTCGTTTGTCACTGGATAGGAACCAGAAACAGATTAATTGTGGGCTGTTTTAGTTAGACTCCCTTCTGCTAAGGAATCTAGATCAAAGCCTCCCCCCATACAGAGGAATGTTTCCCTTATAGGCTAGCTTTATGTAAGTGTTAACAAGCAATTAACTCTTAGAAAGCAGCTGTGCTAAGAACCTGGTCATAATCTGGTCATTTTTTTTCTGATATAGCAAAAGTATCTACCCGAGCGTATGAATAAACCACTACCTACCAATGATTGTATACTCTTTTGTTTCAAAACTATATAAAAAGCTGTATTAAACTTTAAGTGGGGTGCTTGCTTTGCAACTTGAGTCCTGAGCATGAATCTTTACTTCTGCGCAGAAATAAAGTTGAATTCTTGTTTCCACCACCTGTGTGTGATCTTTGGCTACTTGTACCAGGTGAAACAAACTACCCAGCTTTGGACTGGGCCAACAGGGGGATGGAAAGGGCCCACACTTGAGACTTCTAAAGTGTTCCTCACGCAACAACCATTTCATCAGTCACACTTGGCTGCTCTTTTTTTTTTTTTTTTTTTTTTTGCTGAGTCTGCTCACCTTCATTTCTTAGAGAAAACAAATAAGCTGTGTCACCAAGCTTAATTAGCTCACTTGTAGATTCTGAACCATCACCCTCCCAAGATGGATCAAATATCTCTGATGACTGAGGAGATCTAAACAGAACACAATAAAGTACAGTAATGTGTTTTTTTATTTGGCCACAAGGTGGTGCAATACCTAAAAAGCATCAACATCTTCAGTGGTTCAAAATTTGGGGGGGGGGGTTGTTAGCATTACCACTTTAGTAAATCTAATCCCAAAGCTGAATAGAACAAAGCAGATCAATAAAACAATTAGAAAACAGCAAAAATTAAAAGTAGAACCATGACAGAGAGACACTAACTGAGAAAAAGTTTAACTTCAACCTTCAGCTGGGTCCTTTTGTGCCGGTGCAGTGGGGGCCTTCTTTCATGCGCCAGGCTTCTTTCATGAAAGAAGGCCTGGGCCGGGCATGAACGGAGGCCCTGGGCAGGGCACGAGAGACACCTCGGCTGCACCAGCATGACAGGCAGCGGCACAAAAGAAAGCCCTGGCCGGTACAGTGCTTGCACGTGATGTGGCGCCAGGCAGGGCGAGGAGGCAGGGGCAGCTGGCGGCAGGAGGTAGCCAAAAGGGCAGAGATGTGGGGGAGTTAGGCGGATGAGGGGGCTGAAGGGGAGACAGTCCCTTATCTTACTGAGGATGAGGGCCTGGAGGGACCAAGCTGGAATGGCTTGGATTGAGGTGGGTCCTCGGCTAACAACCAGTGGGATCCGGTTAACAATGGCAACAGGGAATGCCGGGATTGCCATTGCTAAGCGATAGGGTCACGTCACGCTTTACGACCACATTGCCTAGCAATGGAACTTCCAGTCCTAATCACCACTGTTAACTGAGGACTACCTATAATTTGTTAGATAAGCCACCTTGAGTCTTTCCAATTTTTTAGCCAAATATGTGTAATAAATAAATCTGATTGCACTTGCAATGATAAGAAGGTAGCATATGTTGCTTCAGTAGTAGTTTCTAAGTGACTTGGAAGAGAAAGGATACATAATTAATGCTAATTCATACAGAATGTGCAAGGCACGGTTATGGCATCCTGTGCCCATATACAAAACCGATCAGGCAAGTATTTGAAAGGTGCAGCCAACTGCACTTGCCAAAGGTGAAATGTCTGAAAGCAGCCTCAAAAGTTGTATTATTCCTTATTCATTTTGTTTAAGAAGGTAACAGCCTAGTACTACTAAGTCCTTTGTAACCTAGTAAAGCAGCAGGCAATGATGGACCTGCCTTACCCTACAGCTGATGGTTGCTCCAGGGAGGGAACTGGGATGTCACAGCCATTTTCTTGCTTTTTTGAATAAGTACACTGGACTTCCTCTGCTGCCATCTGCTTAAGACCACCTGTTCATAAGCAATATTATTAATAGCGATGAACATGAAAAAACTCTGTCTACAAAAAAGATGAAAATTATATTAGCACCCTTCCCTCCAATGCATACATCTCTCCTGGCATATTTTAGAATCTGTTGGCCAACGAAATAAAAGAACAAAGTATTAGTAATTCAGACTGCACAGGAAGAATGGCGTCAACAATCTGCCTCTTCCTTTTCCATAAAAAAACACTGCTATGAAATTTAATTCAGGATCCTTGTTGCGAATTGAATACTTCTGTATCTAATAGGCTCAGCTGTCCTGGAAAGACTCTTTTTAGCCAAAGGCCAACTGCCTGTTACAATCTTAAGCATAGTTATTTCCCTCCAGTGAAGATTACTTCTTCCACCTAGAAAATAGCAAGGGAGAGAATCAGGTTGCTATTTTAAGCTTCTAGTAGTAATGAAAATTGTCTAGAGTACCATTGTGAATTAGCATAGGTAATACTGAGATAGGATGACCAATGGTCTGAAATTCCATAGACATGGAACATTTTTCTAAATATTCAGATTACTTACATCACAGTTGGCTTCTGAAATGCTGAGAAGGAACATATCATTGAAAATGTCATTTTAAAACAGCAAATTGGCTGTTTGCTAACCTCTATATACAACACAATTGCTAGTTATTGCAGACAGAGCTTTAAACGGATGATGTAAATCACATGTGCCTTTCAACCCATTTCTGCAGTCCCTACAAATCCCTCCCCAAGATTCAGCTTCAACAAAATAATTATCAATGACAAGATCTGTGGCTTTTTTTTTAAACTGAGGCTACAATGTACCTATTTTGCCTTAAAACCTCTCTATCCCTCAAAAAAGGGGAAGCAAAATTCAGATTTGCTCCCATTAGTGACATCACAACTATGTTCCCTCCAGTCCTTGGATGTTGAAAAAAAAAATGGGAAAAAATTAGCAGCCAACAAAAAAGGTGCCCGTTCCTGCTTTCAGTACTCCAAATCCTACAGATCTTGTGGAGTACTTCTTCCAAAGAGATCAACTGATTTTCTCTTTTCTGCAGAATGAGGCTTGTTTTGCTTTGTAGCCTGGTGCTATAGTATCACCTCAGAAAGGCTTACCACACCCCCACCCTGCAGGTAATTAAGAAGCACTATAAGAAACATTAACTTAGACATGTATGCGGTAGCTGTAGTCAAACCTTTTCACTTCCTTTCATATGATTTGGTTCTGAACTGCTGCAGTGTGGCTTTAACAGTTTAGAAATGTGAAACATTTGGCATTTAGAAATGATTACATCCAAATAGCATGTATGTTTAAATACTTGTTTCTATTATCTTACTAGCAGGCAAATCCACTGGTGGCTACAGCAGAATAGCAAATATCGTATCACATGCTAGTTTTGTTGCAAATAGAACAGTTATTTCATCAGCAACCCCTTTCCAATAGTTCAAAGAAGAGGGCAAGCAGTTGAAAGAATATGAATAATCCTCACCGAGCAATATCACATCCCCCACCCAGTCCTGGATGAGAATTGTGCTCAGGCCTGTCTTGCACACATCAGAATTGTGAAGGTATGTTTAGCAAACCCAAAAGGAAGCTGCAAGGACATAGACAGGCTCCTGCTTCCCAGGAAATACTCACAGAGAGGGACTCTGTTTAGTCCTTAACCAAGATACAACGGCTTTCTCCCTCTGAATTCTAATTATAGGTCTGTTTTTCTTACTTTCATGGAAAGATATTTAACCACAAAATGTCCAAGAAGAGGATATTACAATTCACAATCTATCCATAAGAATGGCTCTACATTCTACAACTGGATTAATATATTGTACAATAAAAGGTTTATTTCAACCATTGTTTGTTGGTATGTCACACTTGCTGCATTCATGTGTTGAGCAAGATCATAAACCAGAGCCATCCTAGATTACCTTGCTGAAATTTGGTAGCAAAGCACAGAAAACTGATATTTTTTGCTGTGAAAAATTTGTTAAACCTTCTCTTGTTGTTAAAAGCAATCCCCTCTAAAAACAACCCTAAAGAAAGAAGAGCCCAATATATCAGCCTCGCCGTCTCCCAAGATGCTGGTGGGTCACTTCTGGACCCTCTGCAGCTTTCAGAAGCCAACATTCCATCTTTAAGTGTCTTCTAAGACTCTAAAAGGTTGCTTGCCTTGGCCATAAATCAAAATCAGCTGGATTCACATCTTGCATTTTACTCAAACCAAACAAGCCACATTAGGGCTTGCATAATATATGGACCCACTTAATGAGGGCACTCCATAGGTGCCCATAGAACAGATATACCTTCACATAAGTACATAGTTGTCATGCAAATATCCCAAATTGCTTTTGCTGAAAATGAAACCCATCACACTCCTGCTAATTTATCTAATGTAATACGTTTCCTTTTTCAGCAAAGGCAATTTGGGATAGTTGCATGACATATTTTTAAATCTGCATGTTTCATACCTGGGTTCTATAGTTACAGAGTAAAAACCATAATTTCAGTTCTTGCCCCTATCACTATAGCAAAGTGCATGTATCCAAACAATAAAATGCAATTATTTTTATATGAAAGGCTAGTGATCAATTAATGACACAGAAAATATCTATCATTCAATAGTGATTGTTTAAAAAAAAAACTGAAAAATGTTTTTAATTGCATCCCCATCCCTTGAAGTAGAAGCACAAGTACTAACAAATAAAATAGGACATTATCTCTCAAAAGATAATTTGTGATTTAGTAAGCCATTTCTCTCACCGTCATTTTGAGAAGCAGCTTCGCTGATTTCTTCTGTAAGATATTCAAGTAACCCATCAAATATTTCCAAGAGATTTCTAATAGACTCCTTGTCTCCTTTCACAATATTCTCACCTTAACAAAAAACACACAGCATTATCTTAGAAAAGAAATAAAAGGATGGGAGGGTGTACACTGAACAGGGCTAAGAGCAAAATACTCAAGCTCTGCTTAAAAGAGCATTCCTGATATATGAACCTGTCCACTTAAAAATAATAACTGCACCATGTCATAGATTTTATTCTATGGGGAATGTGGAGTCCATTTTATTCTGTTGGAATGCTCATTCTAATGAAGAAAAACTTCTTTCAGCAACAAGACATCATGCAAAATCAGTTTCTTTCACTCCAGACAGCTTTCTGAATCTGGACATCCTCCAAGGAAGGCAATGCTGAAAGGAAAACTCACCATATAATTCCCATAATTACACTTCTGGATTATAATTTTTAAAATAGCTACCTCAGATCTGCTGTCCAAATGCATTGGGATAAAAACCTCCAAAAAAAACCCAGCCACCCAGTGTAGAAAGTTGTAGTACCAACACAACTGAGCCACCAAGTTAGGAATGGCTATGTTGAGTGGAAAAAACGAGAAGCAGAGAACATTAATTCTGTGGCTTGTTGAATCAGCTAGATGAAAAATGTTAGAACATCTGAGACGCCATCTAGTCCATGATATGTTTAGTGCTATTATGAGTACTAAAGGCTCAAAACATATCCTTCCTTTATTCTTCCCTCTACACCCATGTGCTTTGCCAAGAAAGGGATAATAATTGCTTCTGACTTGCATTTCACAGTTTTGATGGGGGCCTGGTTTTTGCTATTTTGCTAAAAATAGTCTCAAGAAAAGCCAGTTCGTTAAATCTGAGACATTCCTGTTAGGAGGATTGCTTGCGCAAATGCAAATCAACCAGGAAAAGGTACAGCTGGTGGCCCCTTCCAGCTGCCTGCAATACATATTCAGTGACAAAGAACATAATGTTTTGAAATGTATCCTACAGAGTTTAAGTCCCACTAGGACAAATGACAGATGAGAAATTGATTCTTTGCCAATTATAAGCCTAGGTATTGAATCACTTATTGTGTAAACAAAGGTGACAGGTACATATTATAATGTGTACCATCAAGGTACTTTTTAAAACATTTACTTATAATTACAACTCACTTTGTCATTACCAATTTTTACTTATCTGCCAGCTAAAAACATTATTATGGCCAGGAAGAAATTTATTGTATTAAATGCAAGTTTTTAAATCAGTTAATTACATTTTTTCAGTACCACTGAAGCATGAGTGTAGTATAAAAGTGTTCTCCTTGGTGTCAGTGCAAAAGAGGGCACAGCTTTCCACATTGTTGAGACTGACCAAGATTTGGTTGAGCAGAACACAATACATAGTTGCCATACATTTTACTATGAATAATTAAAAGTCTCCAGTATAATTGTGTTTTCATTCATTTTGACTACAATATTTATAAAAGTAAGGCAAGTCTGAAAGTACTCTTGTAATTTTATGCCATCAAAACCTATTTCAAGTTTTCAGCAATGGACTTAAAATCTGTAAAGCAGATAAAAGCTCCAGTCCTGTATCCACCTACTTGAAAGTATCCATCACTGAAGCTTACTTTTGAACAGACGTGTCTAGGACTGCCAGCCCTGTTTTATTTCATTGATTTTACTAGAACTATTTGTGAGCAAGTGCTTTGGAGTTCAGTCTTGGACCTGATTACTCAGCAGTGGTCACAGTATCTTCAGAGGGCCTTATTTGTAAGCAAAAAATAGAATCAGTGTCATAAAAAAGGCTCTAAGATTTGGATAAAGATGCATCTAACATGAAATAAATTTTCACTGGACCACATGTAAATTACTACTTTTAACTATCTTGTATCACAAAAGTATGGTACATTTTTGCAACAAGCTATTGTTTTTTTAGTTATAGATACTCACCAGTTATATGTGATAAGCTGATCTGCAAGTAGTCCAATGCCAAAGAATCTATCACTGCCTGCACATTATGAACATTGTCTTCTTGGCAAGTAGGAACAGCTATGAAATCTGTAAATAATTAACTTTTTATCACACTATTACCACTCATGAAGATATATTATAAAGCTAAATAAATGAACTATACAGTATCTTAAATAATTTGAGAGCAAGTTAGAATCTTTTCACATCAGTGGGCTTGTAGAAATGTATATAATTTTGAGTTGAACAATAAACCAATGCATGGAATGTAGAAAAATACCCCAATGTATTTTCAAGCCACTATAGATATTTTTTTAAAAAGACCTACACACACACATATATATATACCACAAGATAGCTTATCCACACTATACACATAAACTCAGAATTAAGTTTCACTACTTTCAATGAGGCTCTACTTCCATAGTATAGATTACTGTGGTTTATAATGAATCATCTCAGACACACTGATGTCCTGAGGGTGACTCTGAAAATTCCAGATACAGGAGATGGAGGGAAAGGGAGAAAGCACTTGGGAAACAGGCAGACAAGATAAATACTCAAGCCTAAACTGAGATTCATTCTCTATTTAAGTGTTTTTACACTTCTGGTTCTCAAACTCAGAACACTTTTCCTTTAATTGCAGTTGCAGTGAGGAAAGTCAAGCTTAAAAAAAAAAATTAAATCCTCTTAGCTATAGATTTATGCCCAACCTGTTTCAAATGTAAATATGAAACTGTTATCCTACTGTGAGAATAGTGTAAGGTACATGTATTCTTACCTGGGACTTTTTCTCCTAATATTGACTCATAAAGATGAACAAAAACTTCAGCTCCACAGTCAGACAGGTTACTAACATGCAGATGGATGTTACATTTTGTCAGAAGATCATTGGCAACATTGACCCAATCTGTTTTAAAATTACAAAAGAATATGATATGTTATAGTTTTAGAAAAAAGCAGAGGATGCATCTGCATGAGCAGGGATTCAAAATACTTTATCAAGCATCCCAATAAGATTTTTAATATTTTTTTTCTAGGATTAAAAATAAAGCTCTGCTACAGTTCATAAACAAGGTTGAATCCAAATGTGGTTACCAAAATCTAGTAAATCACACTATAATTATATAACATATTATATATAATTATAAATAAAATAATTATATAACAATATAACTACAAGTCCCTCAAGACCTGGCTATATTATCAGGCCTGGGTATCTGAGGGGACTGAGATTTTGAGATGGCTCCCTTACAGGTAGTCCTCACTTAATACAATAGGGACTGGAAAATTTGTTGTTAAGCGAGGCAGTTAAGCAAGGTCTGCCCAATTTTATGACCCTTTTTGCAGCGGTCATTAAGTGAATCACCACAGCTGTTAAACGAATCATGCTGTCATTAAGCAAATCATGCAGTTCCCCATTGATTTTGCTTGCTGGAAGCTGGCTGGGAAGGTCGCAAGTAGCGATCATGTGACCCCGGGATGCTGCAACTATCATAAGCGCGGGCTGGTTGCCAAGTGCCCAGATTACAATCACATGACTATGGGGGTACTGAAATGGTTAAGTCCCATTGTTCAGCACTATTGTACCTTTGAACAGTCACTAAACAAATGGTTGTTAAGCAAGGACTACCTGTACTGTGGTTAACATTATCCTCTCTTGTTCTTGTGTTTTTCATATTTTTTAATGGTGAATGTTTTTAGATACTTATTGTTTGTAAATTAAGTGTTGTACGCCACCCAGAGTAATTTCCTGTTTGGCCACTATCAATGACTATAACGGAGATCCAAGCAACAAGTCCCACAATGCAATTGTGCCAAGTGAAGAAGCAAAGACAAACTATAAGTATTACAAATGTGGTTTTTCAAAGCCAACAGTTCTTCACAATGCAATCCCAATCTGATTATGTGCCATCAAGTTGACTCTTAGCAATCACATCGATTTTCTCCATGATGATCTGTCCCTAACCTGGTCCGTCTGGTCTTCCAAGTTATACAAATTTACTCAAAAGTAATTCCAATGAAATTCAACAGAACCTATTTCCAAATATAAGTGTATAACTGGATAGGGTATTCTAATGCCATAGTGTAACTTATGGCAGTCGAGTCCCTTTTTGGTAACTTCCAGAATCTCTTAACACAACTACAAAAATTAGAGGCCTAGTTTTCTCACCACTGTACAAGAAAACTGTCATGCAAGCACAAAGTTTAATACAGTTTTAAAACTAAACAACCCAGTCCTTTTCTTCACCCTCAAAAACATAAAACCCAACCCACCTATGACAGAACCCTGTCCAATCCACTATAACTCCCTCTTTCTAAAAAAAATGTACACTTGGCCACCAGTTAAAAATTGATCACCTTGGAACAGTAGGGATTGGTGCCTCCACTTTACCTAGAACATAGGGAAAATAAATAACCACTATTTTTCTCATACTTATCTACAATAAGTCAACTTTATTTAATGGAACTCAAATCTGGGTACAGGACTACTATGTGGCATACTCAGCATTCTATAGCACTTCACAATATTCAAAAGGCTTCAAATACACTATTGCAGTACAGTAATCTCAGCAACTATGTCATAAGGCAGGAGTAGGGAACATGTGGACTCCCAGCTGTTTTTTCTCATAATGGCCTACAACTCACTGAACTGCCTCTAACCAACTACACTGTAGTATGCCGGTGTTAACCCAGCTCATATGATTTATTATTCAGCATATTGTGCAAATATAATTATATAGCTAGAATATTAACTGGGTTAATGGGTAAGCAGGCCATGTAAGCACAATCAATATCAATTTTGGATAAGCAGTAGATTACACATACAACTGACCAAAGAACATTTACATTTTTAAATAGGGAAATCCATTATAGAATATTAAGAATTTCTCCTGCTTTATGCAACATGAGACTTATTTATGTAATTACTACTCTTCACTCCAATCAATATAATCCATTTCATCACAACCTACTACAGGCTTTGCTTCCTCTCCTCCTGTCTTTAAAGTTGCTATCTCGTAGACTAATTTACAGCATGCTAGAGAGCCCTACTATCCTTTCCCCATTATTCCCTGAGAAAAGAGATTGACTACAAAAACAGTTATGTTTATAGCATAAATAGGTTCTTAAACCATACTATTCTTTTTTTAAAGAAAACAACTCGCTCCAATCGATGCTCATCCACACGTATGGGATCTTATGACACGTGTAAGTTCTTCTGCTCTGGAGTTATAGCAGACTAACACAGCTCTCCTCGTACAACGTCTTCAGGAACTGAGTTTAAAAGGCTGTTTTCGCTGAGAAGCACCGTCCATTTGTGCAAGGAGGATGACAACAGGAACGCATGAGAAATAAGGTCTCTCGTACTGGGGAGCCTTCCCCAATCCCACCCACCTCTTTCCGCAGCAGTGGCCATCTCGCAACTCCCCGACAAAGACGTCAACCGAGACACAGGGCGGCAAAGCCTCCGGTGATTTAAACCCTGCACCGCTCTCTGAACTCCTACGTGGCGATTGGTCAGCCAGAAGCGGAAAAGGCGGAACTTCCTCTTGGCCTCAGTGCCTGCCCTTCGCCTACTTCCGGCTGTGTTGCAGCTGTTCAGTTATGCCATTGTTTATTTTCCGCCAAGCTCGGTTTCTACGGCAACGAAGGGAGGGGGATTATTAGCGGAGGCTTTTTTTAAAACAAAGTTCCCAGAGAGAAAACAGAGTGCCGCGCGCGCAACGTGAAGCCCTGAGCGGGAACGGGGCGCTGCTGTTCCTGTTGCGTTACGCTGTTTTTTGTAAGCGTTGGCACACCTGGCTCTTCCCCCTCCCCTCATAACAATCTTGTGAGTTGCGATGGACTGAGATGCCTGTGCCCAGGCTCATGCAGAGAGTTGTGGGAGCCCTGATATAGCTGAGTGGTATCTAGCTTCTCCTGCAGGGATTTCAGACAGGTTGGCAGCCACGGGCAAAATGCAAAGCCCCTGACGAAAGCAGGCCGCCCCCCCGCCAGCCTTTCCGAGCTTGAGGTCTTCAGGGACGTCGAAACAGGGAAGGGAGGCATGGGAAAGGCACCAATCCAATAAATACGAGGTCAGAAATCCGCGAGCCTGGATCCGAGGTGGAGAATGTCGGAGGTGGGCTGTTTGAGCTTTTAATTTATTCCTGGAAAAGGAGGAACGGTCTTGCCTGTGGAGGAGTCGCAGCGCCGTGACATTCATTTGGAGCAGGAGGCTGAAAGGGGTGATTCATTCCCAGTTTCTTATTCGCGCGAAGCCTCAAAAAGACAGCTCGAGCACGAGAGTTGGCACACATGAAGAATCTAAAGCGTATGTTATGTTTGACCTAAACATAAAAATAAATCCAGC